CAGGAGTCATCAGAAGCTGGGAGAGGTAGGAAGTCTCCCCTAGAGCTGTCAGAGGGAGTGTGACTCTGCCAATACCTTGACTTCAGACTTCTGGCTTCTAGAACTGTGAGAGAATAAATTCCTGTTGTTTTTAGCCATAAGATGTGTGGTCATTTGTTACAGCAGCTCTACAAAACTAATATAGGGGACTTGGAGCACCACTCTCATTACTGCTGCAGGCCACTGCCTCCATGCCCTGAGGATCCCTGGGTAATGTATTCCCTCCTCCACCATTCAATCCTCACGTAAGTAGCCATGGACCATGGATACGAGAATGGATAAGAGGCAGGCCCTCCTTCAAGAGTGCATAGCTAGAGGGAGAGATAAAGACATTAAGAGGTAATTATAGCATTAAGTGCTATGGGCTGTCTTGTGTCTTCCCGGTATTCATATGTTGAATCACAATCCCTAGTACCTCAGACTGTGAATTTGGAGACAAGGTCTTTAAAGGGGTAATTAAGTTAAAATGAGATCATTAGGGTGGGCCTTAATCCAACATGACCAGTGTCCTTATAAGAAGAGGAGAACAGGACACAGATACACACAGGTGAAGGACCATGCAGAGACACTAGAGAAGATGACCCTCGGTAAACCAGGAGAGGCCTAAACAGAAACCAAGTAGGACATACACAGAAGGCGTAAGTACCCGGGTAGGGAAGGTGGGATACATCACACAGATAGATAACATTGAGGGTCCATGGACCCTCATGAGATCACCTTCCACAAAAAATTTGCATAGAATTTTGCATATTCATGAACACCTAGCACCCCAGGATGCCAATATAAAAAAAGTCCTGGATTGGGAGGCTGCGGTCCTGGCTTGCTCCTAATTCACAGGCATCCTTGGGCAAATTCCTTAACTCCTCTGTTTTTGATTTTCTTGTCATAGCTCTACAATTCTGTGACTTCTTTAATTGATAGCACTAATTCACAGAGCCAACTAGTTCATAGGGGCACCTAGGAAATTGTTTTGAATAAAATTGGGACTTGGTGTTTCCAGCACCCTAGTTAAAAATAAATTATGACAAGAATAGAAATCTTTGTTCAAACCTGCCCATTGTTCCATTTCTATATGCTCCCTTGGTTCCAGGAAAGGACAATTGGGTACATGCAACAGGCTCAGACTTGCACCTGCTCACAAATATTTCCAAGGATATGCTTTAACATGTCCTTATTACTGGCATTAGAGCAGGGTGTTCTAGGGACCATGGACCAGGAAAACCTTTTCAGGGCTCCAGCTATTTCCAGACATCTAAATGTGCAACTTCTGAGTAGTCCAGCCAGGTAAGCCAGGCCATACAAATTCTTTTTTATTGGAAACTATACTGAAACAACCTCAATCCAAACTTTGGGCTGAATCCATATATCTCCCCAATATAAATAACTGGATATACATACATACACTATGTAGGTCAACATCATACTTGCTAACTTTTTCCAGAAATTTGACTGTATGAAGCCAGAGAGCTACATATTTGGACATATCCAAATAGTTGAGTGAAAAAATAACTTAAACATACATATTCTTTTTATACTCAATGTATATCTGAACACTTGGGCTAATCTTAGAAATGAAGCTTGGTGGATGTGTTTGGTCCTGCTCTATGGGGTAAATGGAAATGCTTTTTCATTTGCTTACATGGTGCTTTGCTCAGGACATTCTATTACCCCTCAGGATGAAGTCCAGGTCCCCCAGTTTGCCATGAAAGATTTCCCTCCTAGTTCTCCAACCTCACTGTCTGTTCTGTGCTCACTGCCACCACTCCAGCCTCACCTGCTGCCACCTCACCTCCCTCCCTTGTCCCAGTCCAGCCACACTGCCTCCTTGTTCCCTGGCTCAGCAGCACCTGGTCCTATTGTGAGAAGATGAATGATCGCTCGCAAAAATCCTCGGAATCCATGAATGTTACTTTTTGTGGCAGAAAAGGCTTTGCAGAAGTGATTAAGACTCTTAAAACGGGAAGATTACCCTGGGTTATCCTGGTGGCCCAAACTAGTTGCCAGACTCTTTATGACAGGGACACAGGAGAGTGTGATCAGAAGAAGGCAAAGCAAGGATGGAAGCAGGGGGAAAGGTGATACGGTGAGGGCATGAATGAGGAGCAGGTGGGCCTCTGGCAGCTACAGGTGGGAAGGAAGCAGATTCTCCCCTGGAGCCTCTAGAAGGAACAGCCCTGCCGACACTTGATTTAGCTCCACAAAACTCATTTCAGATTTCCAACCTCCAGGACTGTAAGAGATTGATGTGTGTTGTTTCGAGCCACTAAGTTTGTGGTAGTTTGTTGCGACAGCAATAGGCAAATAATCACCCCATCATTCTGTTTTATGTTTCCTTATGGCACTATACCATTGGACGTATTTCGTATTTACTTATTTATTTATTTGTCCATTGGTTGTCACTGCCCCTAGAAAGTGAAATGCATGGAGCCAGGACTTTGTTTTCTTCATGGTTGTAAACCAGGGCCGGGCACAGTAACTATCTGCTGAATGCATAAATAAAGATATGTTTTAATTAAGTATTTGGCCAATGCCCTGAAATGGTTGAGCCTCAGTAAAATGTTGGCTGGATATAGAGTTACAAGCCTGCGTGACATTTTCACTGACTGGTCTAGAACAGGCGGGAACATACATAAGTGAGTACAGGTGTAGACACAGCCCACGGGGTCTACACTAACAGCCTGGGAGAAGAAACCCCAGGACTGTACAGTGACAAGTCCCACTAGGAGGGTGGTGAGCACGCCTGAGCCCTGTCATATTTGGGGGTTCCAACATCTGCTCTGTGTTGCTGGGAAGAGGAGGTGCCTGAGCAGGTTATACTCAGGCCCTCCACTCCCATGCAAGTAGAACAGCCCTTTTCACCCATTTTCATATGTCATGTTTCCATGCAACATACTAAGACCTGCAGAGGGGATGTGGGCTGAAGAGCAGGGATCCTAACTGCCCCTCTTGGTATTGAGTTCTGCTGAATATCCTTAAAAGGAGGCCACACACAGGAACTGAGGTCGATGGTGCACTCTATAACATCTTGGTTAACATAATTATACTAAAAAGAATGGAAACTTAAAAAGTTAGTCAAATCCAACATTTGCTTTATGGTACTGCAGATCATAAATAACTTAGGAATCACACTTTGCTGCTCTGCAGTTCTTCCTGTCACCGGTACCGGATGGAGATGCCAGTACCTCTTTCCCCCCTGACTTCTGTTTGGTTCAACACCAGCGACAGGCTAATTTCTGTTGAAAGCAACACTTGGACAAATTTATAAATAATTGTCTTGGTGCCAGTGGTGATGATGATTGGCTGTTGCATGAAATTGCAGGAATGTAGCTGTCTGTCCTGAGAACAAATAGACCTAGTCCTCACTTTCAGACAATGGGCTCTTCTTGGAAATGAATACATTGTGGATGTGGACATGGGGCTGGAAGGCTGCTGGAATGCACCTGAGCCAAGGTCCTCCCCCTCCCAGAACACCTAGAACACTTGGCTTCCTCCTCTATTCACCCAACTCAGCCACGTGATCTGCCTCCTGCACCCCACTGCTTTCTTGAGAGCGAGGGCCTTGTCTTTCCCCTACAAATGCTCAGTGGGTTACCTAAGTATGAGCCAAACACTCTGTTAGTTGCTTTTTAAGAAGACCTTGTGGTAGAATAAAGGAGACACAATTTACACACAAAACCACTAGGGAAAAGTACAGAGCAGAAAATAATAATNAGCCAAACACTCTGTTAGTTGCTTTTTAAGAAGACCTTGTGGTAGAATAAAGGAGACACAATTTACACACAAAACCACTAGGGAAAAGTACAGAGTAGAAAATAATAATGCATTAAATTTGTAAATAAAGTATATTTCACTAGAGGAGTTTTTAGAAGCCAAGAAGGGGAGAAATGAGAGGAACTGGAGTTTTGTAGGTTAATAATCATTTTTATTAGCAAAAAATAGCAGTGTTACTAATATATTGTCTTCATATTTTAAAAAAGCATGTAGCCCTGGCCGGTGTGGCTCAGTTGGTTGGGTGTGACCCCATGCACCAAAAGGTTGCCAGTTTGATTCCCCTTCAGGGCACATGCCAGGGTTGTGGGCTCCATCCTAACTAAATAGGGGGCATGCAGGAGGCAACCTATTGATGTTTTGCTCTCGCAGCAATATTTCTCTCCCTTTCTCTCTCTCTAAAAATCAATAAAAAATATTTTTTTAAAATAAAAATGCATGTAAATATGAATATTGTGGGGGATGAACGTCGGGGAAATGTTCTCCCATATCGATTAATTAAGATGATTTTCTCAGTTTTGAAATGCTTTTTATGTTTTAATAATATTCATAGCCATAATCTTTATTACAAATCAGTCTAATACAAAGATCACCAAAGTTCTTTGCTTAAATACCATAAGCGTTAAACATTAACACTGATAATTAGTGTCTTAATACCACTGAAACCATTTCACTTCATCCATTATTTTAGTTATATTGGTACCAAAAGGGCAAGCTCGGTGACAGAGGTAACATTTATTGACCATCTATCTGAAGTCCCTGTGACCTTAGAAACGTTAAGAAGGAAAGTCCAGCACCTGACTGCAGATTTCACTTTCTCTCACAAGCTTTGGTTTTGTTTTTAAAAATCATGCTGATGAAAGAAATTTAACAAACAGAAAAAGATACTTCGCGTCTGTCACAAGGTAAGGATTTGAGCAGCAATTTCTGCTGACTCCTAGGTGAACTCTTAAGAAATGCTTTGCCCATTGTATATAACAGTCAATTGCTAGACACACACTTCAAATGCACCTTCCAGTTCCTGCAGCTCTGAGCCATCTCCGGGGAACCCTGATTCAATCAGCCCGACTCATGACTACGTATTGAGATCAGAGGACCCTGACACCACGCATCTTTCCCTGGTCACTCAGCAAAATGAAACACCAGTGATGCCACCTGCATGTGCAGGTGTGCCTGTCAGCGGCAGCCCTTACCTTCACAAAGAGGACGATCTCAGGGTCCATGGAAGCTGCTTTCTTTTCTTCGAAACCATCGTCAGCGGCAGAGTAGCAGGTGAGGAAGTATTCACTGCTCTCCTGGGTGGTGTAGCTTGAAGGAGAAGGTGGGTTCTCCCCCATCAAGCCTCTGTTCTCCCGTAGCTCTTCTGGGCTAGTCTCCCGGTCCTGAGTTGGTGAGTGTAATTCTTCCATCCAGATGTCCCTGCCCTCCTGGGACTCACCTGGCTGAGGATCCTGGGCCTCGGGACAGACCTCATCAGGCAGGAGGTAGCCCTCTGCTTCTGGCTGGGAAAAGGTCAAGCCGTTCTCCTCGCTCTCAACAGCATCAACTGATACAGGGTCATATTCATGGGTTTCCAGCCAAGTGGCATATGAATTGTTTTCGGACCTCAAGCCTTCATGGATGGTATCGTAAAGGCCACCTTCATTTTCTGCTGCCTCTTCTGGAACCTCATACAGCCTCTCTCTTTGGATTGTGTCATACGTGGAGTTGTCTTCGTCATTCATGTTCGCTATCTGATAGATCCTTTTGCACGCAGACCTGAGTAGATCCAAAAGTGGGTTAAGGGATAGAGGATGCTGCACTGCCTTGCAGGGGACTCGACGGGCTTTTGAAATGCAGAAACTAGCAACAGCTATCAATGACAGGTCTCTAACAATCATTTACCAGAGACTGTAATCAGCAAACCACAAGTCCATTGGCCACAAGATAAAGCTTATACGCTCAGTTAACCCCTTCACTCCTAAGAGTATTTTCTTTTCTTTTTAAAAAATATATCTTTATTGATTTCAGAGAGAGGAAGGGAGAGGGAGAGAGAGAAACATCAATGATGGGAGAGTGGTCATTGATCGGCTGCCTCCTACACGCCCCTGACTCCGGAATCGAGCCGGCAACCCGGGCATGTGCCTTGACCAGGAATCAAACTGTGATCTCCTAAATCCTAGGTCAATGCTCAATCGCTGAGCCACATCTGGCCAGGACCTAAGGGTATTTCAACTAGACTCTGGGGTTTTCCTCATTGCCAGCTCCCAGATTCTTTGGATTGACTAGAGGTTGAATTGAATTTCTTCCAATCCACACTGGAAATTCTGAATATTTCACTATTTGTCACTAAATGAAGCTCCCTCTTCCAATTGGCCTCATATGTTGACAATAGTCAAGAAGTCCCTATAATTCAGTTCTTCACTATGGTAACATTTACTTATAGCTGGGTTCATTACACAAAACAATTGAGTATTGATACCCAATGACAAATGAGTTATATGTACCCCAGTTAAGTAATAAACTCTATTTGCATTTCTTATCTGGAAAAAGCACTAGGTGATTAAGTGGCAGAAGGAAAAATAGATAATGCTCTGGTCTATGGGCACATGGGTACAGGCCACCAAAAATAAGCAACTCCAAGATTTATGGCTTCGAGTTTTATTTTTCCCTCTTAAATCTGGGTGATCATCACAGGACACAAACATTCACTATGATTTTCTTATAAACAGGATACTGAACTGAGTACTAATCGTGTGAGTTAGAAGATCAATTCTCTGTTCTCCAGGGACTTTTAAGTATAGGTAGAGGGCCAGGAAGATAAACTAAAACCCTAATGGACACAGAATAAACTATTCAAGGTTTGCTTCACACAACTGGCCCAGGTCTGGCATAAGCAGCAAAGAAGTGTATACACAAATTTGCCTGGAAGATGCCATCTGCAATGCTATGAATGTACAGGCTCTTTGTTTTCCAATCTGTTACTCTGTTCTGCTAATTCCTACTTCCCATCACCACATCATATACATCTTTCTCTTGGAAGTGACAACCCAGATGAATTGCAAAGGGACTTTAATGTCTAGAAATCATGTAAAAATTGAGAAACAATGCAACTCCGGTTGACAGGTTTCAAAACATTTGATGAACATCTTATTGACAAAATTCATTTGTACCCTTAGCTCCATCCAGTATTGTATCCAGAAATCTTGTGGAACGAACTAAGGCAGTATTTCTAGAATTCCGGCTTTTGAGAATTCTAGAATTCTAGCTCAAAGAATAGATAAGGAGAGGCCAGAGACAGACTTTCAAGGCTATTGACACTAGACCCTCATCTTACTGAAAAGTGAGGTTTGATGGGTCCACATACCTGATGAATTACCACAGGTTCCAGAATCAGGTGTTAATTGAATGAAGCTCCAGCTCAATGCCTCCTCATAATTTTAGCAGGAGAAAACCTAAGAGATCATCCACCTAACATTTTATCTTACATTTGAGAAAAGTCTAAAACCTTGAAAGGGGAAGCCAGTGGCCCAAATCTACAGAATTAAAGAGCTGATTTCAGCTGCATCTTCCTAACGTCCAGCTCGGTGATCTTGCTGCTACTCACTCGCTCCTTTAAGCCAACGTTTTCCAACATTTTTTTTTCGTGATCTCACCCTTCTCCTCCGCCCAACCCCCAAAAGAGCCTTTCTAGATATTTTCCCCTTGAAATGAAAATACTGCAGATATACTAGATATCTGTTTACATACCATGTGTAACCTGTGCTCTATACATAGAGAAAGATTTTTGTCCCCCAAGAACCAAATTTTACCCTTATTGTGTGACATTGTTAGATTTCTTTTTAATCCTCCCCAGAGGATATGTTCATTGATTTCAGAGGGAGAGGAAGGGAGAGAGAGAGCAACACAGATGTGAGAGAGAAATATCTAGTGGTTGCCTCCTGTACACGCCCCAACCGGGGATCGAATCCACAACCTGTGTATGTGCCCCGACTGGGAACCGAACCCCAAACCTTTGGGTGTATAGGGTGATGCCCGACCAGCCGAGCCACTCGGCCGGGGTGACTTTGTTCTGCTTAAGAATGTGTGGTTTAATTGCCACGCACTTCCAGTGTGTAACTATGACCGGGCACTGAGTTGTGTGCCCTCTGCATTATTACCGAAGAACAGTATGGAACAACCTGTGCATGTGCACACGGCCTGCTCCCAACTCCTCACGGTGCTGACCCCGCGGGGCACCAGGGCTGGTCAAGTTTGGGGCCCAAGAGCGCACACACACGCTTTATAAATGTGGCCCCTTTTAATCCCTTCTCAGCACACACTGGTCATGGTTTAGTTACAGGTTGAAACATGAAACCAACCATCCTGTTACAATGCAAGTCAGGTCGTATCACTCTCTGCTCAACCCCCTGCAACGGCTCCCATTTCTCTCAGTCAACACCAAATTCCTTGCAATGACCCACGAGGCCCTACAAAACCTACACCAGCTCCCCTCTGCCTGTTTTTCTCCCCCTTGCTTAGCCTGCTTCAGACAACCTGGCCTCATTGCTATGCCTGGAATGCTCCAGAACGCTCCCATATTAGGATACTTATATTGGCTGCTCCATTTGCCCAGAATACATTTCCCCTGGATGTCTACATCGTCAATTCTCCAGACTCCTCTAAGTTTTTTCTTAAACCCCCTCTTCTTAGTGACACCACTCTGGCTCTTCTGTATAATATGACAACCTATCTCAACTCTTATCTCTTATCCCCTCCGCATTACTGAAAACCCCTACCTGAGTTTTTGTGTTACTTTTTCCATAACACTTATCACCTTCTAATAAGATATATACATTACTTATTTATTATGTTGAGAGTGTTTATTTTCTGTTTTCTCCCACTATTACATAAACCCCAAATGGGCACAGATCTTGGTCTGCTTTTTTTTATCATGATCTGAAGAACCTAGAACAGTGCCTGACCAATATTAGATTCTCAGTGCATATTTGTTGAATGACTTTTTGTGATTATTTCATATCTTTGCCCTCCAGACATGTAAGTTTCATGAGAACAAAACCCATGGCCATTTTGCCCACAACTGTATACCTAAAGTCTTGTAGATACCTGACATATAATAGGTGCTTATTAAATATTTGTTTTATAAACAACTGAAATGGAGGAGATGTATTTAGAATCATGTCCTGTTACTCCTGGTCTGGTTTCTTTCTGTATTTTGTGTATAATCGTATCACCTTACTATGTTGTGAACTCCTGCAGGAAGAGAACTGACGAGTGGATCTTCCACAGAACTTTGTATAAAGCAAGTTGGCTTGTTTACTTGTAAAAGGAAGAGCTCCCCATCCAATTTATCAATCAAAAATATTTTGAGGGCTCCACGTGTCTGTTACTTGTAACCTAAGAAAGGAAATAAGACATGTATTCATTAGCTTGAGAACTTCTAAGAATGTGCTAGCGTACTTTCTGAAATACATGTCATACCCATGTTTGGAAACCTTCAGTGGGGCTCAAGCATATATAAGATGATGTCTGTTCCAGGATCTTGAACAGAACCAAACTTGTTTGTCCAACCAGCTTCTCCCCTCATATTTCCCCCAAATGTCCTCCTCTGTAACCAGGAAAGGTGATCTTCCCTGAATACACTGTGCCGTTTCCTACCCCTGTGATTTTGCACATATGTCTCCTCTACTAGGCAAAATTCTACTCATCCCACTACATGCAGGGTATAAATATGCATAAGAGGTGATCTTATGGCACATACAACTGAGGGAAATTTACGAATTAGTAATTCAACAGAAAGGATCCAACTGGGATGTAGCACAGTCCTGCCCATTGTCTGGAACAGCTTTGGCGCCAATGTCTGGTCTTCTGCTTTGCATGTACACAGACTCAATTTGGTTAGTTTGCACAGGGTTTTTCATGCCCTATAGAGCTGGGTCACTCTAACTAAACTAAAAAATATATCTGTTTAGAAACTGAAATGCCAATTTATTGATTTACCCCCCCAGAACGTAAGTGCCAAGTTAACTTGAATTAACTTGCTGGGGTTAATAAACATAAACTCTTCATAGAAGCAAAGCCTACATAGGGAACCAGTTAAGATAATATCCTCATGACATGTTTATATGATGTTTGTAGGAGCTAAGGCAATACCCCCGTTTTTTAAACCCAATATCAGTGATTTGTACTTTTTCTTTTTATCTTGATGAGTCTTATTAAGAATTTACCACTTTTACTTATTATTTTAGAGAATCTTTGGCTTTATTAATAATCTCCATTGTACATTTCTTTGCAATTTCATTGATTTCTGCTCTTATTTTTGATATTTCCTTTTTCTTCTCTCTTTGGTTTTATTTTGCTGTTTTTTAATCCCAAAATGATCATGATAGATACTTAGATCATTGGTGTTCAGCTTTTCTTCTTTTCTAATATAGCATGTAAGACTATAAATTTTCCTCTAAGTAGAGCTTCAGCTGCACTCCACAAGTTTTTATATGCTTTATCATCGAGTTCTAAATACTTCTCATTTTGTTTGTTTTTTTCCCCTTTGTTCATGAGTTATTTAGAAGTGTATTGATTTTCAAATAGTTGAAGATTATCTAGTTATCTTTTTGTTACTAATTTTTAGCCTAATTTTATGATGGTCAGAGAACTTAGTCTTTATGATTTTAATCTATTAAATTTTGTTTTGAGACATGCTTCAGGACCCAGCATATGGCCAACCTTGGAAATACTCCATGTGCAC